GCTGGGTCTGGACCCCTTTCCTCTCTCTTCTGGCCTTCGTCCTTCCTCTACCCACTGTGTGTGTTTGCAGCGTCTACTTTGTAAGGTCAGGAGAAGATCAAACATAGAAATGTCCCCAAGCCTCACGGTAGGAAGCACACGATACATCTTAGCTTTTGTGACTTATTGAGACTGACGGAAACTCTTACTTCATCAAGAGGATGAAATGAGAGAAGTTTGTTCCTACAAGACAGGTGCGAATCTTAGTGCATCTTTAAGGTAATTCTGTATTTCATTCATGGCAACATCACATCATCTTTTTTTTTTAAGCTTAAAAGGCTGAGCCAGCTGTACGTGATAACATTAAAGCCCCACGTTTACTTACTTTAGAAAAGTTACTATTTTGAGAGTTGTGTGATCATTCCCAGAAAAAATAAATAAATATAACGATTTTGGTGTGCCTCTTGCCCCTCGGAAAGAGTTACATGTGAAGAATGACTTCCGTTTCCTTGGATGAGTGTTTTCAAATTCCTGCTTTCTTTTCAAGCTTTGTCGTAAAGCAAGAGAAGGGAGGACTGTGCGCTGCTCGTGGAAGGAGCTCCTTGTAACTCCTCTTCCCTGCCCCAGAGTGTCTGGCAAATAGGTACTCGGTCAATGTCTTATGAGTGAAAGAATGAATAATTCAGATGTTTAATCCTCTAAGTCAGTGATACTGAACCTTTAGCCATGCATCAGAATTGTTCAGGGGGCTTGTTAAACCACAGATAGCTGGGCCCCACCCTCAGAGTTTCTGCTTTGGTGGGTCTGGGGTGGGACCTAGGAATGTGCATTTTCACCAGGCCTCCTGAGGATGCTGACGCCGTGGGCCCAGGGGCTATACTTTGAGAACCACTGCTTTGGGGTCCCTTCCGCTGCTTCAGTCTACTGGTTTTTTACCTGTTTCAAGACTTCCAAGAGATTGACATCTGTCGTTGTCTGACCTTGCCCCATAGACCTAAGATAGACTCTGTAAAAAGTACCAGGATTTGATCAGATAGAAAAGCGACCTGGATTTTCTTTTTTTTTTAATCGTGAACTACATTTTGTTGCCTGTACACTTACGAGAGAAGTGAGAATCAGATCACTGCCTTCTTCCTGATGGTGGCCTGTGGGGGCTGGACACAGCCAGTAGGGGTGGAGTGGGGTGGTAGAGCTTGCAACACTTAAGCCAGATTGTATCTCCATCCAGTTTGGGAATCCCTACTTAGTGTCAGATGTGCTTAACTGCAAAGTTGAAACAAAACATGACCTTTTGCGGAAACTGCAGTTGAGCAAAAAGGGTACAGGAGATGAGCATATGATACAAAAGGGAACAAGTTCCTTGCAAAGGCTTTTCATGCTGCCTGTTGGCTGACTGAAGTCATTAGGCCTCCGGGATTCGGAAACACAGAGGGAGTTTCATGGCCTGAGGAAGGCTGCTCTCTGCAGAAAGTCATTCTAAGTCCAGATGTCACTTTGGATGGCAGGCAAAGAGCTAGAATTCCCAAGCCCAGGCCCCGGAGAGCTCCCCCGCACCATGCATCCCCCTCTTCTCCGGGAAAGAGCCCTCGAGACCATGAGGACACTCAGTAGAGGCCAGTGATGAGTCAGTAGAAGGTACCAGAGGGACACCAGACTCCCTAAACAGAGAGAAGAGATCAGTGGAACCTGGGCAGGGAATTGAAGGGAAGGAGGGGATCAAGACCTTCCTCTGAAGTAGGGAGAGTGTATAAGTAACCTATTGCCATGTAACAAATGACCCCAACACCTGGCAGCTTAAAACCACAAGTATTTCCTGTCTTGCATGGTTTCCATGGGTCACAGGCCTGGAGTGGCATAGCTGGTGCTTCTGGCCCAGGCTCTCTCATAAGGTTGTGGTCAGGCAGTCATCTGAGCCTCTCATCTGAAGGCTCAGCTGGGGCCCAAGGACCCTCTTCCAAGATGGCCCACTCACCAGGCTGTAGGCAGGAGGCCTCAGTTTCTCCCACTCACAACAGAGCAGTTGACTTCCCGCAGCGCCAGCAAGCTGAGAGAGAGAGAAAGCCAGAAGGCAAGTGCCTAAAAGTGAGACGCCACCTCCTGAAGGAGGGGCACCACCGCAGAGTGAGGCCCTCTCATCCTCCCCTTGCCAGGCTCAGAAAAGCACAGGAGTAAGTGATACAGGGCCTTTGATGAAGGGTGACGGCTTTGAAAAGGACTCCAGGGCTGGCTCTGGGAGTTCTACCTGATGGGGCTGAGGAAGGGTGGTTGTGTAGAAGAAGGGGCATTGGAAACTCTGGGGGCTTTGAGCCCATGATCCTGTAGTGGTCATGAAGACCCCTTATTTCTTCAGGCCATGGGCTACGTTGCTCATAAGGGACTGAAGCCCCCTGTGAGTTCCAAGGCTCAGGTTTGGTTGCAGAGAAGAGGAAGAGGGGCGCCTGCTTAGAGCCATCTCTGTCCTAGAGAAAGAGCAGTCAACAGCCCTGGCATCTCCATCATCTGGCCTTCCAGATGCCCAGGAGGCAAAGGAGAGCAATTCCAGGCAGACATGGTATCCTGGAATAAAGGGGAGCTTCTTGGATGTGCCTCCCAGGAAGGATATTTGGGGGAGGGATGTTAGGAAGCAGGAGTGGGGGAACCTCACTCTTTTTTATTAAAGTGACCCCATTAGGGATGATGGCTTGGTACTGCTAGCACAGAGGCAGTCAGCCCTTCGTGGCTGTGACTCCTGGGTCCCACACAGAGACCCTCCCATGGGGACATATGTTTATTTTGGCCACCCCAGCTGCATAAATGGATCCCGTTTAGCAGTCTTCTTTTGAGAATGCAGAACCATTGGTGGTCCTGTTGTACTGTGTCTGTTCCTATCTCCCCTATCATCCCTGGGGAATAAGCTAATCAAACTTGCTGATGATTTTACACTAAGAAGGAGATAGCTAATAACTTGGATGACAAGTATTAGAATACAATGTGATGTGGATAAATTGGGTCCATGTATTAAGGGCTATAAAATGAGATTCCATCAAGGCATGAATAATGGTGCCTGTGGAAAGGATTAATCAAATACCCCATTAAAAGGTATAGGAATTCTGGTCAGACAGCCCCTGTTTAATTACACTCCTGCCCCCACCCCGCCCTCTCACTCGGTTCCCTCTGGAAGTGCTTTCTACTAGGAGAAATGTGGAAACGAGTTTAGAGGAAATTATAGAAAAATTGGGGACATACGTTTTGATAGAACAAGATCATGAAGACAGATTTAAGCAACCAGTGTTTAATTTAGAAAAAAAAAAGATAAGGCAATTGGCGTGAGTAATCATTTACAAATGTAATTTCCAGAGGAGCCCTGTTGCTACCATTCAGCAAATGCCAACAAAGCATTTACTTTCCAAAGGGAGAAAGCAAGACAACAAGACAAATGAAGCCATCTCCAGGAATGGACCGAAGAACAGCCAAGCCATAGAGGAGAATCAGGTGTGAGAATGGACAGTGCAGAAGGTAGACAGAGCTTCTGAAAGATCTTGGAGGACTGGCATTGTCTGGAGAAGGCTTCCTGGAAGAGGAGACTCCAGCGGAGCCCCGCAGTGTGGACAAGCTTCCATGTGCTGCAAACTCGTGAGCACACTCTGATGACAGGGTTTAGGGAGAAAATGGGCTTGAGCAGAGCAGGGGGCCTCTGTGGGATTCTTCTCTTCATTTCCACCACAACCACCCTGGTCCAGGCTGTCATCACTTCTCACCTGGACAAGTGCAAAAGCCTTCCAGCTGTTTTCCGTGCTTCCATTCTTGCTCCTCTACAACCCATTCTGCTCACGAAAGTCAGAATTGAAGATCAGAGTTAATTATATCATTCTCTTGGCTTCCCATTGCTTTTAAGCTTAAAGTAAATCATTGTCATGGCTATAAAGTCTTGCATGGTCTGAACCACATCCTGTGCCAGGCCCCCTTTCATTCTCTAATATGCCAATCAAGCCGACCTTCAGTGTTTCAGCATATTGGGTCTTCCCACCACAGGGCCCTTGCACATGCTTTTCCTACTCTGTATATGATTGTTTTTCTTCCTCTCCTCTTCCCAAAGCTAACTCTTTACTCATCCTTCAGAATGCATCTTAATGATTACTTCCTCCTGAAAGACTTCTCTGATTTCCATAACTGAGTAAGCACTCTTACACCTCAAAAACAAATGTTTATTGTGTGAACATATGATTAATGCTTGTCTCCTCCACTAGGCCACAAACTGCAGGAGGGCAGGGACCCAGTCTTTGATCCCTCAGAGCCTAGCACTGTCTCATATGTCGACTGAATCATGACATTTAATTCAGAACAGGGAGACTAGTGGAGAAATTAAAGGCCGACCAGTATGTAGGAGAGTGCCATTGTGAATTCTTACTGGGATGAAAAGCTGACTGTGTGTTCAGACTCTGCCACCTGCTGGTTGTGCTGTTGTAAATAAATCACGGGTCCTCTCAGGACCTGTTTCCTCATCTGTAACATGGGGTTACCAACAGCCACTTCACATGGTTGTAGTGAGAAATTCATGAAATAATATACATAAACATTTTTTAACTGTAAAATCAGACATAAATATACTTTGTCATTTTTTCCAGTGCTTGTCGTATGGATGGATGGACGGATGGATGGATGGATGGATGGACGGATAGATGGGCAGATTAACAGTTAGGGAGCCAGTGTGAGAGCGAGGAATAGTGTGATGGAAGCCAAAAGAGGAGGGAATTTCAAGAAGTAACAGGAGGTGTGTTGATTGACCACAACATCACCTACGGTAGAGCAAGCAAGGAAGTCACCGGTGACCTCGGGACAAGTCCTCCTCAGCCTTTTCACTTCATCTGTGCTTTCAATGACAAACCTTAATTGTAACTTAATCGCTTTCGTGATTTTTATCTTTTTGGGGGGAAATCGAATTGATTTGCACACACAGCAAAATTGGTGAGATTACTCCAGCTGCCACCAGCAGGTGCTGACAAGTGAAGAAGTGAGCATCAGAGGATAAGAAAATACACTACAGGGGCGCCTGGGTGGCTCAGTCGTTAAGCATCTGCCTTCAGCTCAGGTCATGATCCCAGGGCCCTGGGATCGAGCCCCGCATCGGGCTCCCTGCTCCGCGGGAAGCCTGCTTCTCCCTCTCCCCCTGCTTGTGTTCCCTCTCTCACTGTCTCGCTCTCTGTCAGATAAATAAATAAAATCTTAAAAAAAAGAGAGAAAGAAAATACACTACACATTTATTTTAATAAGGCCTAGTATACCTTAGTTACTTATTAAATTGCCATGGATAAGTAGGTTTCAGTTTCCAGAGTCATTTCATTTTTAACTGCCTGTGTTCCAGTAGGAGGAACAGGGCTGGATGTGTAGGCAGGTAGCCATGGTGTGAGATCCATCTGAGGGCAGTTTCACTGCTATGAGCTTTTTCTGGGTCTCTGTTTACATCCCACTTTCTATCACAACCATCCATGCGGGGTAAGTCACTCTAACACACACATACCCTAGCTAAGTACATGGTCCTTTGGAGTGGTTACTCCTCCAGCATGGCAGCTTAGGCATCACCGAGCCAGGCCCTGATCCAGGCAGTCTGTCTGTGTGCGGGTCCTGGGGACGAGTGGCCCAGGCTGCACCTGAGCCCCATGCTTATCATCTCAGGACTGACTCCCATTGAGTAGGAAAGACATGATAAGTAAATGAACCTCCAATGGCCAATTTCAACATTCATCTTCACTCCCCATGCTCCAAACCAGGCTGACAAAACTAGATACTCAATAGGAAAAAAGTTAAAAACAAACTAGAAGAAAAGACCACCAGTTATTTTGTTTCCGTGTAGTAGTTGGTGGTGTAGAACATGGGTCTATGAAGTAAAGAGGTGGTATTCAAGAAGACTTTAAAATGGCTCAGGTAGGGTTCGAAGACCCCTACTCTTGAGCATGATGGCAAAAGAGCATGTTGCTGATCTAAAGACAGATCCATGCATGTCTCTACCTCTTCCCCACATCTCCCAAAACTAGGACTTTCTCTGATAGTCATAGGTTCAAATGTTTAGTCGGTAAAGTGGTTTCCTGTAAAATGATACACACAGTTTGCCAAAAAGGAATGCCCAGGCCCTGGTCACTAGAAGTCCCATTACATTCCATTCTGGGAAGTGTGGGAGGCCTCGTACCTGTCTTCAGTGGTGGACCCTCATGGGGAAGCTGGGGGTTCAGTGGGGGAGGGGGGACCTGGCTACAGGCAGGGCTGGACCCTCTCCCATGGCTGCCTGGCAGAGGCAGCAGAGCTGAAACCTGTAACCACTGATCTGTCCTCCCTCTGGTCCCCCGAAGGAGCAAACCCCAAAGCTCTTGAGTCCTTCTGATGTCCAGAAACACAAGGACATAGTCTCCTGCTTCAGATGGAAGAGCGTGATGATGGTTCAGAGCTAGGTTCACAGTTCAGCTCTGCCTCGCCTAGTTCCTGCCTTCTGCTGGCTGAAATCTCCTGTGTGGAAAATGGGTATGATCGTGCTTTCTTGGGGAGGCAGTGTGAAGATTACATGCCATACTGCTCCTAACATGCTTAGCCTGAGCCCAGCCCAGCATGAGAAGTGAGCTAACAGAAGCATGGGAGCCATGGCAGATTTAAGCCCCTTTCCAAGTTCTGGTCTGCCCTGGGACGTCCCTGCTGGGTCCCAGCTCAGCCTGCCCTTCTGGAAGGTCTTACCCCGGGTGGCTCTTAGAGGCTGAAGTTGGAAATCTTGAGAAGAGAGGAGTCCATGATGGGGTTTGGGGTGGAGGGCAGGGACAAGAAAAGGATTCAAGGAAGGACTCTGTGGGATTCCTAATGAGCCAGAGACGGGCCCGGAGGAGCAGGGGGAGCAGCTGGGAGAGAAGCCGTTAGCTCAGAGTGATGACGGTGTCACAGGGCCCAGGGGTTCCAGGGACTGTCAGATCTTTCAGAAAGGTAGCCTAGGACAGGCAGTAAGAATCAGAAAAAAGCTTCTGAATCAGATTTGCCTTTTCCGTGAAAGTGAATTCAAAATAATTTGGTTTTAGAGTTTTGAACATACACATTGTCATCACTGGAAATACCCTAGAGTGTTGTAAAAACTTATCACATTGCAACTCACTTACCGTCTATGCTCTAAGAGCAAGAACCCAATCCAAGTAAGCAGTTTTGAAAAACTCCTGAACCCAGGAAAGACCTGGGTCTGCCTGTCCACTGTGCATTAAGTTCTTTTCCCGGTTATGTTTCCCTCCCTGCTCCTTCCCATCCCACATTCTGCCTGCTGTTGGCTGGGAGGAGGGCACACAATCCTGATCTCCTTTACAAATAAAAACCCCCTGGGGAACCAAGGAAAGTATGAACAGAGAACCAGAATGTGATCAGTTCGGGCCTCTGTCTGATTTCTTTTATTCCCCCTGACGTCTTTCAGGGCCCTTCCGTGGCTTTATATAATACTGCTGTAATAAAGGTCTGAAGGTGGTATCAGGAGCCTGTTGCGTTTGAAGAGTGCCTTGGGTTTTGAATTTTTTGCTGTATCCATCAGTTTTGGAGTTTTTTCTTTCTGGGCAAATCAAAACAGACCCTATACATGTTTAATGTTTTTTCTTTTAAAGGTTTTATTTATTTGTTTGTCAGAGAGAGAGAGAGCGCGCGTGTGCACAGGAGTGGGGGGGAGGGGCAGAAGGAGAGGGAGAAGCAGACTCCCCACTGAGCAGGGAGCCCGACGTGGGGCTCGATCCCAGGACCTGGGATCATGACCTGAGCTGAAGGCAGACGCTTAACCAACTGAGCCACCCAGGCGTCCCTCACACGTGTTTAATTTTCTTTAAATTTTTTATTGTTATGTTAATCACCGTACATTACATCATTAGGGGTGGGGGGATGGGTTAGCCTGGTGATGGGTATTAAAGAGGGCATGTTCTGTGTGGGGCACTGGGTGTTATGCACAAACAATGAATCATGGAACACATGTCTAAGTGTTATAAAACCTCTTGTCGCCTAGTACAAGAGTGCTCATTTCTTTTGTCCATTTTGGGGTGTCAGAGCCCTGGAGCATGTAATTTAGGGTCCTGGACTTATTAGGGTGGTCTCGAGGTCACCATTAAGTGGATGCACTCTTTATTAAGTCAATATTTGATAAAGCCTTATGAAATGCTAATAATTGTGTTTCTGGGACTATCTGCTGAGATTAGAGAAAGGAAAAACTTTTCAAGTGTAACTTTTCTTGCTCCAAACCATAAGTAAATGGCCAGATCTCATCTTCCCTTCATCTGTCATTTATATTTATTACATTTGGTGAGTCTGGTCAGTGGTGGAGATTCCTTCGGCTTTTGCTACATCCAGGCTCCTATTATGCAATCATCTTTGATAAAACTTAACAGTATACAACCCTGGGCCCTGGGGCATAGCGCGATGTCACACCCCATTCCAAACTATATTGAAAGGCATTAAAGAGAAGCATTCCCCAGTCACTTCCAATTGTTTAAAAAAAATGTCATAAATCACTAGTTACACAGAGAGCTCCCCCAGATCCCATTCTCCTCCTGTCTCATTACCTCTATTGTGAGAAAGTGATTACGGCGGGGTGTGCCCTCCTTGAAAACATGCCTTGCATACAGGGTTTTTCTCAGGCAGGTGATTATTTGCATTAAGAATGAGTGCACTTGGACGCGTTGGCATGCACCAAGGCAAAATCCAGACGGTGGAAAAATGCAGGTTTGGTGGTCTGAGCCTTCAACAGATAACAGATAAGGCATAGGTGGAGTTAGAACTGGTGGTCACTTAACAGAAATGTAAAGGACATCTAAAAATATGGATAGGACTGGGGCGCCTGGGGGGCTCAGTCGGTTAAGCGTCTGCCTTCAGCTCAAGTCATGATCCCAGGGTCCTGGGATTGAGCCCTGCTCGGCAGGGAGCCTGCTTCTCCCTCTCCCTCTCTCTGCTGCCCCCCCACTTGTGCGCGCTCTCTCGCTCTCTCTCTCTCTCTCTCTCTCTCTCTCTCTCTCTCAGAAATAAATAAATAAAATCTTCAAAAAAGTAAAATAATAAAATAAAATAAAATGTGGACGGGACTGGCCTACAGCGTCTCAGGACACGCAGTTGAGTAATGACACCATAAACAAACACGAGGAACTGAAGAGTGTAAGTTAGGAGTGTGGTTGCTTCTGGGGATCAGGGGGTGCGCTGCAGTTGGGACATGTGTGTGGAGGGGCTTCTTGGAGGGGCGGCACAGTCCTCTCCCCTCACCATCCGGTGCTTACTGGGGCATTTGCCTTCTCATCTTTCCCAGTGCAATCCATTTGCTTTGTGTGGTTTTGAATGTCTATGCTTTATTTTACAATAGAAACTTCTATTTTAATGAATCCACTTGGGGTTCATATTACCTACAGTCTTTCCAGAATTTGGCTTGGGGTGGGGGGGTTCATCTTAAAATATGTCTTCGTTTTCTCACTGAGAGGAAAGTTATAAATCCAGCTGGAAATTCATCAGTGGGGTTATCTGGCAGCTTGGTCAGAACTGTGAGCCTGGTGGTAGGGCTTTTCCTGGCTACCGAAAATCTTCTGGTCTTTCTCCTCCCCCCCCCCCCCACTTTTTTTTTTTTTTGTTTTTTTGATGTAGCTCATTATCCAGTCAGTTGCTTTTGGTAATGGCATAAGCACACCTGCAAACCTACCTTCCCTAAACAAAAGCTGGGACCCCAACAACAACATCTGTTCCTGCTCTTCTTCCTCCCTGACCTTTGGAAATCTTTAAAGGCCACAAAGGTTTGCTTAGGAGAACTTACCCCTGCCATGAGCCCCACTTTCTCCACCTCACTGTCCCTGGAAATGCCAGTCTGAAGCAGCCACCCTTGTGGTGTGATTTTAGGATGACCTCTGGCAGGGGCATCATTCCTGTACCTCGAGGCTTTCGCCCCTATTAAGTGTAGTTCCACGAGAGCACTGACCACCTTAGCACGAGTAAGTTAGGTGAGAGCTGGCTTCAATAAGGGAATAAAGTCATAAAGAGTAGGACTCTTGAAGCCTGAGGTCGGGACATAGTAAGGGAAGACCCATCGGGGGGTGGGTGGGAGTCTACCTTTTCTTCCTTTTCTTCTTCTTATTACACCTGCCCTCAACATGTTGATATTTTCCAGCTAACTCTAGGATCCCACTAAAACACAACATTTCCATCTGTCCCTGGGGCTACATGAAACTAATTGTCCAACTCTCTCAGTGCATAGGCCTGAGTCCAAACCTGTTTGGGAAGGAAAGGCAGGAACCTCATCTGTTCTTGCTCACCATTGAGTTCTCAACCCCTGGCATGGTGCTTGGCACACAGTGGTTACTCAAGAAACACTGGATGAAGAAGATGAATGAATAAACAGGGGCCCAGGCGAAAACCAGCTTGTAGCGAGGAAGCGTGCACAGGGATCTCCTGAGAGGGGCAGGGAGAAAGAGACTGCTCTCACTCCGTAGGCTCTTGGGGATACCCCCCCCCTTGCCTCCACCCCTGGGCATCTCTCAGCAGCAGCCTAGGTCCGCCACTCTGTGCCGCCCTGTCCTTGACAAGGGAATCAGCCAGCACCTTGTTCTAGAGAGAAATACCAGCTCTTCACACGGTTTCTTCCACTTGGACAACACTTCTGGGGTCACAGAGGTTATTTCCCCACACGCTGTCTCCTGGACACTGCACAATAACCTCATAAAGTAGGTACTTCCCACTTTATAGAGGAGGAAACTGAGGCCAAGGAGGATTCAAGTCACTTTTGAGGAGCAGAGCTATAATTAGAACCTGGAACTTGGGATCCCTGTGTCCGGGATCCTTCCTGCTGCACTGTCCTAGGCATCGAGGTCCCGGTACAGGGGGATCAAGCATCGGCCTTGCCCTCAAGAAGCTTCAGATCCACTGGGGCACGGAAAGTGACCTTACAGAGTAAACATAGGCCACTGAACATCCTGGAGCATGGCCCGATCCTTCCCCAGGGTAGCTTCACAGAGATGGTATGAAAGATTCCTGCCGTTGCTTCTCAGAAAGTTTCTCTCTCTAAACTTATGTACAGAGTATGGAACGGGGTGGCCCAGCAGGCTTCCACTGTCTGCTGTAATGGGGAGGACTGGGAGAGCATAAATAATAGAAACCCAGAGGAAATCCCAAAGACCTTATTTTGATCAGTTGTGTCAGTCTCACGCTTCAGACCTCATTAGAAATGACCACATTGTGGATAGGAAGAAGAAAGCAAAGGATCAAATCCATAATCGAGATAACCGTTCCCTATAACAGAGTCACTCCCCGGCATGCAGAAACGCCCCTGCTTTTTGGACACCCCCCCCCCCCGCCGTCAAGCTCTTTCTTTTGCATCCCTCTCTTCTGATGCTCTCCATGACCCCTGCAGGCAGTGGGGCTGAGCCTGAGCCTTGGAAACATTGCCCAAGGAAGGCCCCCTCCGTGCTGGAACTTGAACCTGAGCTCTTCCTGGCCCCCACCTCTTTTCTGGCTTTTTTCCTCTGGTGGCTCATGTCGTCCTCATCTTTCAGCTGTCCTTGAGAATGACCCAACAGTGGCGGCTCCAGCACACCTTGGTGAGGTGCTCACTGACCACTTGGCTGCGTTATAATCATTTAATTCATCTATGCCTGGGAAGGAGAGGTGCTTTATTTAGAAGCTTAGTAGTGAAAACTTCCGAGTAGTTCACCATGAGCTTGCCGGCGTTGAGATGATCCCAGGGTCTGTCACTGTGCTCCTGATCCACTGAGCAACAGGGGGACAGATAACCAGCAGGCTTGGTCCGCGGTGCAGCCAGCATGCTGAGCACCACGGGAGGGTTGTGGCTGGGTTCTCAAAGAGAGGACAGACCGATGCAGGAAGGCAGGATAATGAGAAAACCCTTGAAAAAATAAGCAGATTTTTTTATGCTCCTCCTCGCAGGCTGGGGCTAGTCTGAGGCTGCCAGGCAGTGGTTTGTAGCCAGGACTTGTAGGGTCATTAGGGTGACCTGGGAAGCTTTCTCGTATCCTGGTGCTAGTCCTGGCATCTGTGTTTTTAAAACCACACGTGATTCCAGCGTGCAGCCAAGCTTGAGAACCAGCAATCTGCCGGGTGGTGATGGCTTTGTCACGGGTCGGCCTGTCTAGGCTGAACTACGTCTCCCAGAATTCCCTGGTCTGTGGGTTCCTCATTGGGTTGGGCCACAGAGGGATTCTGGGGAAAGCTGGAGGACAGAAGGGAAGCAGTACATGCATTGTCGGCTACCTGCTGGCTCACCCCATTGCCGGTAGCAGCGGCCAGGTCTGCAATCGCTCCACCTTTCCCTGCATCCCCCTACGGCTTCTCTGACTCCCAGGCCAGCTGCGAGTGCTTAGCTCCATGGCTTCTGGGGGCTATCCCTAATATCAAGGTCAGAGGCAGCAAGAGTTTTAATCCATGCTCATGGGGTTCCAGATTGTTCTTGGTCTTCCAAGGCCTTTCCTTCCCAATTGCCTGCCCTATGGACTTCACACTCCAGCATCGAATACAAAACAGCCTTATAGGGGCTGTTTAACCAGCAAGCCCTATTGTGAAAGGTCCAATACCTGTTCTCCGTCCATACTTACAGACCCATCCGTATCCATCCTTGTCGTTCTGCTTCCTCAGTGAACCGACCAATATAGGTAGTTTTCAGAATTGTGCAGTAAGGGGTTGTTTTCATCCACAGAGAGAAGGCCTTTCTTAAACTGAAGGCTCAGTTTAAGAAAGAGATACAGGTGGCTCTGATTGAAGGGGAAGGCGGGTCTGACAGTTCCCTGTCTCGACCGCCATCCCCCAAGGTGACACATGAGGGGCAATTTGAAAACCCCTGGTAGATTCATGCTCTCTGAGTCTGGTGGTGCATGGGAAACCAGACTTCTCTGGGGAAAATCTTAAAGATGTAAATCCTGGGCTTTACTTCACATCTAGGAGTAAGAGTCTCAGAGGATTGGGTCCAAAGTGAGAATTTTTCAAAAGCCTCCTTTACCCCAGCCTTTCTGGGTCATTGGTAACATTCTGGTTCTTGACATTGGTTACATGAGGCTGTTTTGTACATCCAAAGTTAAAAGGTGGCACCCTGTGATTTTTGCTCTTTCCTATATGCATGTTATACCTCAAGTTAAAAAAAAATGCACGACCCCCCACCGTCCCGCGCCCCATAACCCCATATTCCAGTGACTGGCCAAAGGTGACAACCACTGGTCTAGATAATTCCTTGTACCCTTCCTGGCAAAATTCAGAGAGGAGGAGCAGAAAGATGTTTAGCCATTGGGAATAGTTAAGGTGCATCCATAATCCTAATGACACATGCAGTTATTCTAACACTCGAGGAGAAGAATATGAAAGAGTGAGGCAGCCAGCCAGCTTGAAGCAGTAGGCATGGGTTGCAAGGAGAATGAAAGGGGGCAGTTTGGAAGATCATCCTGGAGACAGACGATGGAAGGCTTTGAATGGCAAACTGAGAAAAAGGAAAAACCACTTTCAAAGAGTTAAGGCCTTATTTTGAGGAGCAGCATCGGGTGGCAGGGCAGGGCAGTTGGGGAGGCGTGGGGCTCACAGATTTGGAAAGTGATTGATAAAAGTAACATTTTAAACAGTGCAATTGTAAAGAGGTGCCTGGGTTAACATTTAACTGCTCACAAAACATCGTTTGAATGCAAACTGGTGAATGACAGAACAGAGGACAGGTCCTGGCCTGGAAATGGGACGTGACCTTCCTTTGGTGTTAAGACAGACTTTGCAACCTGCACTTCTTCCTCAGGTGCCGGTAGCCTATACACACAGTTCTGAAATGTTCTTAAATAGAAAAGAAAGAAAAGGGGGGTAAAGCCCAGTTCTCCCATTTGAAGGCCGGGGAGATTCCTATGAGATACAGCTGTTATAGGTACATGAAGATTTTATAGTCAGAGTGCAGGGAGGAACTTCATGGGCCATAAGTGTCCAGAACAGGTCCAGCCGTGGTTCTCAGCCCGGCGCCTGGACCTGGGAAGCAGCAGGTGTGGGGACGACATAAAGAAGCAGGTTGAATTACTGTTGTTTCCAGGGCTTTTGAAATAAAGAAGAACAGGCCCTATCCCAGAGGGATTCTGCAGCTCCCCTCAATTTAAACCCACCAGCCTAAATGCTGTCTTGCGTCCGCTTTAATACCCAGGGACAGAATTTCCACAGCCTCTTTTAATGGCCCTTTTCTGAGTGTGACAACTCTGCGCCCCCCTCCCCATCCCACTCCCAGGCCCCAAAAGACACCTCCAAAGACTACAACTCCTGAGCTTTCACAGTAAGGGCAGAATTAGACTTAAATACATTGGTTAAGAAAATCAAACCTGGCTGGCGCAGTCGGAGGAGCGTGCAACTCTTCATGTCAGGGTCGTGAGTTCGAGCCCCACGTAGGGTGTAGAGATCACATAAGTAAATAAAACTTAAAAAAAAAAAAAAGAAAAGAAAATCAAACCATAGGCATCATCCAACTTCTTTTGAGAGATAGACTTTCTTTCTCATTCCCGTCTGACTTAGAGTATTTTTACTTGGTCCTTCCGTACTCCCCCAGGCTGTACCTACACCCTAAACTCTATTTGGAGGACTATCTACCAAGAACTCTTTGACCCCCCCAGGGAATTCCTTCTGGAGCCCCACACACTCCCAAACATCTCTCCACCAGTTCACTGGCATGTGCAGAGGGAATGCAAACCAATCTTAACATTAGTTTCAGTCTGAAATAGCTAGCAAGACAATGGTAGTAATGAAAACAGTAACATGGGGGGCATTCCAGAGGGAGAAGCCAGTTCCATGAATTCCTGCCATTTCCTTGCTTCTCCTCCTGCAGATAATTGGAGAATCGATGTCCACAATTTCTCTGTCCCGCTGCCCTCTCCCCTCCCCAACTCGGGGCCTTTCATGGTTTTTTTCTTACCAGCATCTTTCAGGAAAGGGAAGTTTACTTTAATAGTCTGCCCCACTGGCTCATGAAACCACCCGGCCTCCTCCTTGCTCTCCGGAGTGGGCCCAGCCCCGAGGACACAGAGGGAGCCCTGTCCACGCCTGGCTCCCAGTCGTTTTGCTCAGATCATGTGTAGCAGCTCTCCAGAGCACTTTACTTGGCTAATAAAACTTGGCAGAGGCACAGGGTACAAAAGTCCCAAGTCCCAGCCTCGACAAGGAAGCCTCTGGAAGCAGGAAGGTGAGCCCTAGCTTTCTGGTTCAGTCGTGCTCAGGCTCAGGTAGCCAGGAGGACGCCCTGCTGGGTCGCTGTCAGGCAGGAGGGTTCCCGCGACGTCAGTGTCATGTCTGCATGGATCTCAAAGGCGTAGCACCTGTCCATTTGTGTGGTCCAACAGGCAGCATCTCCTCAAAACAGAACTATGGAGTGTTAGAGCTGGACAGAGTCCTCCAAGATGACAGATCCAGCCTCCATGCCCCCTCGCTGCAGTAGAGGGACCCAAGACCCACTGAGGCCATGCAAGGGGTTTGCCCAGAGTCCCTCAAGTGCAAGAGAGCTGGGCCGCTCTCCCAGGTGTTAAGGTCCAGCATTCCACCGCCGCCCCTTGCCCCTTTGCACAGATGCAGGGTCTCTTCATATTTCTCGTGAGGACTGTGGAGGGCCAGGACATTACCAGGTACAGCAGAGGGTCGGTCACAAGGCCCTCAGGCCTGGAAAAGTCATGGCCCCTACCCAGGCCGGGCCTTGGGGGTGCGCATACTTTTTATTTTTATTTTTTTAACCACAAGTAATCCCTAAAGCTAACTTGCCTTTGTTTCTTCCGTCTCAGTCTCCCCTTCAGTTATTTTTATTTAGTTCTCCGGGGCCTGTGCGTGTGGGGGGTTTCTGAGGACTCTGACTGTAAGCACGAGGTACCATGTCTCTTAGGCTCGGCTGTGACAAACTTCACCAAACGGTTTTACAGTGAAAAAAAAGTGATGTACTGCACATACAGAATCTGTATATCATGATTTTATATCCATAATACATGTGTGTGCACATTGGTGAGAGTGTGCCTTGTAACGTTCTCGGGGAGGAAATGTGGATTCAATTACAGGGGGCCTTTTTTTATTGAGATGTAATTGACATATAACATTGTATTCACTTTAGGTGTACAACATAATGATTTGATATACATATGTATTTTTTTAAAGATTTTATTTATTTGACAGAGAGAGACACAGCGAGAGAGGGAACACAAGCAGGGGGAGTGGGGGAGGGAGAAGCAGGCTTCCCGCTGAGCAGGGAGCCCGACGCGGGGGCTCGATCCCAGGACCCTGGGACCATGACCTGAGCCGAAGGCAGATGCCCAATGACTGAGCCACCCAGGCGCCCCTACATATGTATTCTTAATTCATCAAATCAGCAATACATGTACCTACTAAAAAATTCAAAAGGGGGACGCCTGGGTGGCTCCATTGGTTAAGCGTCTGCTTTCAGCTCAGCTCATGATCCCAGGGTCCTGGGATAGAGCCCTGCATCGGGCTCCCTGCTCAGTGGGAAACCTGCCTCTCCCTCTGCCTGCCACTCCCCTTGCTTGTGTTCTCTCTCTCTCTCTGACAAATAAATAAAATCTTTAAAAAAAATTCAAAAGGTACCAAGAAGGTCTACACTGACAAGTTTCCCTCCTCCCTTGCCATGCCAGCTACCCATTCAGCCTCCCAGAGGCCATAGCTGTGAAATCCTCCAAAAAAGTTAGGCAAGCATAGATGTGTTCATTTCTTTTTCTTTTTTAATAAGTGGGTGTGTATTATATACACTGTTCTCCTCCTTTCTTCTTTAACTTAACAATGCATTCATTCATTACTTTAACAAACATGTACTGAGCTCCTGTTAGGTGCCACTCAGTAGCGAGAATACAAAGGGAACCGAATAGATCCTTGGCCTCTAGGAGCTTAATGAGGGGATAGAGAAGGGAAACAAATCAGGAAAGTCAATGTGGGGAAGGGCAGGGAGTGCTGTTTCCCCATGAGCTAGTCAGGGAAGGCCTGTCTGAAGAGGGCTGAGGCCGGTCCTGTGTGAACTTGGAGATGGGTCCTCGTGGATACTTGGCAGAAGGACTCCGGGCAAGGAGAGCAGCCAGGGGAAGACCCTGAGCCTGGGGCATGCCAGACCGGTCATGCTCCTGGGGCAGCAGAGCTGGGGCGCCTGGAGCTTTTAGGGTGAAGAACAGTGAGAGAGGGGCGTGACTATGCAGGAGGCCTACGGGGTAAACCCTGGTGAGGACTGGGGCTTATTCAGAGTGAGGCCGAAATGCATGGGTGGGTTTTGAGCTCCCTCAGGTCCTCCCCCCCACTGGGTGGGGGACACACTTGGAAGGGTGGGAGCGGGATCCCATCAGAAGGTGCTTATGGGAGCCTGGGGGAGAAAGCACAGTGGCCTGAATCAGGCTGGTGTCAGTGGTGCTGGGGAAATGCTGATTCTGGGTCTCTTTGGAAGGTGGGGCCAACGGGATCGTGTGGCTGATGGTGAGGCTGCGAGGGGCCGGTGAACAGGAGGCCGGGCGGACCCTCAGGGCTTGGCCTGAGCAACCAGGCAAATGGAGGGGCTGAACTGAGATGAGGAAGAGCAGGGGAGGGGAGGAGGGGAGCATTCGGCTTTGCATGTTACGTTAGAGGTGCCCCTTCAACGGGCAAGAGTTAGATGTTGGCTACAGGAGTGGGGACTTCAGACAGAGGTCAGGGTTGGGGGACAAATTTGAGACTCATTAACATATAGGTGTCCCTTCGAGCCCTGGGAACAGATTAGATTAGAGCCGAACATTGTTCATACCACAATCCATCTGCAGGAAGGGAAGAGGACCCTGACACCAGGGCCTCTGCCCACTCTCGACAGGTCCCCATCCATTGCCCCCAAGGCCAGAGGGCTCCGTGTCCCACAGCTGTCACTTCTTTTGGGCTGAATGCATTGTGCGGTCACACAGTGTGGAGTCAAAGAAAGAGCACTCGGCGAGGGGCAGGGGGTCGGCGGTCAGGACCCAGAATCCAGGGCCAGCTCAGACCCAGTCAGCTGAGGGACAACAAGCCGAAGGCCCCTCTGCCCCTGGCCATGTCACCTGGGAGGGTTCGTATTAGCTGGTCTCTGAGGACCCTTCCCACGGTAACGCTATCTGCCTGTGAGTCCAGTGGCCTGAGAAGGACAAAAGAAATCCCTACACACCAGCCACGTGAGAAACTACGTTCCAAGGACGTTCACAGATTGAAAGGGAGACAGTGTGGTTGACTGTGGAGTGCTTGTCTTGGGGGGAAAGAAGGACATTTCAGACTCACAGAAAAGTTGCAAAAATAGTTCATCCCCCTCCCCCATATATATGTGTGTAGATATACATTTTCATATGTTTTTGTATATTGTGGTTTATAGGCTTTTTGAGCTGTTTGAGAGTAAGTTGCAAGTATAATGTCCTCCTACCCCTAAACATTTCAATGTGTGTTTCCTGAAAACAAAGAGACTCTCTGACATAGCTGTAGCATGAGTGTCAAGATCAGGAAACTAGTATCACCAGCAGAAACCTGACTCAAATGTTGCCGACTTCCCCATATAGCCAAGAAAAAGGTGAAAATCCAGACTTATGTGCTGGGTTTAGCTGTCCCGGCCCTTCAGTCTCCTTGCATCGGGGAGGGTCCTGCAGCCTGCCGCTCCCAGCCTTGACCCTGGTCAAGATTACAAGCTACTATCTTGTAAAATGACCCTCAGTTTGCTTTGCCTGATGTTTCCTCAGTGTTAGACTCAGGTTTTGTATTTGGGGCGGAAGGCTCTTGCCAGGGGTAAGGTCTGAGTCAGAGATGTTGGGACAAGGACAGAGGGAGGGCGGGGCAGTGCCACTCACATGAGGAGAGGCCCTTCTGGCGGGCACCAGACAGCTCAGAAACTGGAGTGGGAAATGAAAGAGAATGTGGTGTGGATGCCACGTGTGCTAAATACCTTCTGAGCTAATGTTTGGCAAGAAAAGTAGGTTTATTCTCCCCAATTATTCTGAGCCATTAAAAAATCATTGCTTCCAGGGCGCCTGGGTGGCTCAGTCGGTCAGGCGTCTGCCTTCGGCTCCAGGTCATGATCCCGGGGTCCTGGGATCAAGTCCTGCATCACATCGGGCTCCCTGCTCAGCAGGGAGTCTGCTTCTCCCTCTGCCCCTCCCCCTCACTCGAGCTCTCTCTCTCTCTCAAATAAATAAAATCTGTAAAAAAAAAAAATCATTGCTTCTGTGTAGGGCCTGTGCGGGATATATACTTAACACGCCTCCTCTCACTCAGTCCCTCAGTGACCCGAGGGCCCACAGTGTTTCTCTTGTTTTACAAATGGGGAAACTGAGGCCCGGGGAGCAGGTGCCGTTAGGAGTGGCGTCAGGCCTCTGCCCCCCACCCCCCACCCCAGCTCATGCTCTTTGCACTCTACAGTGCTGTTTCAAACCTGTAAGAGGGTATCCTCCACAATCAGCCCTCGCTTTGCTTCGC